AAAAAAAAAATCCAGCAGAAAAACCCGAGTAAAAAAAATGACTGCTCCGATTTGTCTCACAAAGAAAATATTCATTCCATTCTTTTGTTCGGTTAAAAAAAGTGAGTTTTTTTTTGCAGTGCATATCTCTCCGCACAAAAGAATTTCGTTATCTCTACCACCTAGCGTTTAACGGTTTGGGAAAACACAACCTGTCGCCTCTCAGTACTGTAACTGTAACCTTTAAATTCTATTATGTGTTAGACAAATGTGTTCGGACAGGTCGATTTTGTTTGTCCGATAATGCCAATTTTCATTCTTTCTGCATTTCTATCGCAAAATTTTCAACCCTCGATACCATATTTTCTAATGCTTTGGTATTATAATTCCTAGCCTATGTTGGTATTATATTTTCCTGTGTATACTACTATAATTCCCAACCTGTGTTACCGTAATTCTCAATGTCGTACCACATTTCCCAATTTATGATACCTTTGTATTCAATAGCACTTAATGTGATGGACATTTAACATGCTGTGATAATCACCTCAATTATCAATTAACGCATGAATTACCTGGTCCAGCCTGGACTTGATGATCCTGTTTCGCAGGCATGCGCAGTGAGGCACGTGCGGAACCGTTTCTCACACATAATGTATCGCCATCATCGCTTAGGGTTAGTTGTGGTACCGCATGAGCTGCTGTGCCACCGAATGTATGATAAATGCCGTGCTGCCCACAATCGTTGTATCGTGACGCCTGTAAAATAACTTCAGTTTGAAAATCTAAGCGAAAAATGTGAAAAAATAGAAAAGATGAATCAAAGTTTATAGCACAGACTACCGCCATACGTACATATTTTTTTATCTAACCATTACTGTCGATTGGACCCTTTAAACTTTGAAAAAAATCGTTTCAAATTTAACTCGCAATGAGAGGCGGAGGTACCCAGAAGTAGCTCGAATGGTAGCAACTGCTAATAGTGACAATCTCCTGGCAAGGCTGTTGATGGCTCTTTCTTTCGAGCTCCGTTTAGAAGCGAAATGACACGATTCCCCAGCAAATCAGCATTAGTTCGCTATCGAAATCAATGAACGAATGGTGAACGAATTGATTTTTTTAATAATAGGATTAAGTCCCCGGATTTTCGCATGTGAGCAGAGCTACCTACACTTTACTGTCCATTCCCTTTCCCCCTTTCTCCCCCTCCCCTCTCCTACGAGCATCTAGCTTTAAATAAATATCCAGAAGATCACGCTGGATCTCCTCATGCTGAAGTAGTACGCCTTTCGCAGCTATATCAAAAATTCGCGAACCATAGTACTTATCTGTCGCTGAAAATGCAAAATCATTTACAAGCATTAACCACCTATAAAAATGAAGTAAAACGAACCATTTCGGACCGGACAAAACGATTGTGGACAAATTTAAGGACACAGGCAACAGCTGCACATATATTACATTTGTTTCTTTTGGCAAGACAGATGGGTGATCGAAGGTATTTGGAAAAAAATGGGTAACAGCTGGAGGAAATGAGCAGGGGCAGGGTGAGATGGCCAGTTAACCCGGTCAATACAGTAATCAAGCCTATTTCTTCCCCTTCCCCGT